CAGGATCCCAGGAGGCTTTGCACCTCCCCCATAACAGCTTCCCCCCACAAGGTGGCTGGGCTAACCTTGGCCCAAGCTGTCTGCTCCAGCTGAGCAGGGAGATGTGCTCTAGCACCCCCCAGGCTTCTGGCCTGGGCCACTGCAGGCCGGTGGTTGCATTTCTGGAATCAGAAGTGAATGTCTGTTCACTTGCTAATTGGTTCAATCTATGCAGCTTAGATTAACCTGTGAAGATAGAAATGAATCAGCCTTGGGCTTTTTGACTTCTGTACTTACCTGAAGTGACAGTCCCAGGCTCAGTGGACAGGGAGTAGGGAACTAGTTTGCATCTCTTCATTAACCCTTCCCTTTCTGCTATCTCTTAGAGGAAAAAATGATCTGGTTCTGTCAAGCGGTGAGCGGTGAATGCCTGTCTTCAAGGCTATTAGTTGAGTCAGGAGTTGGTCTGTATTAAAAAATATGTATTACAAGGGCATGCAACTTATAAACTATTAATCTGCCTTTGATCCTGAGCTTTTGTAGTATTTGCTTGTGACTCATGATTCATCTAGCATCTGGCAGTGCTAGAGTGTAAGTGCTAATAAAGGAGAAAGAACACAGCAGAGTTCAAATGTGTTTGACCTTTTCTAATATTGCTAAGAAAAAATTGAAAAATTGTTTAGTTACACTGATCTTTGCAGTCTGTTATGCAGATGGGTTTACTGACTTCCTTCAAACTCTCTTGGGAGACTGGATGACAAAGTGGTTTTGGGGAATAATGGGACTCTAAGCCCAAACGCCACTGCATTACACCTGGTGGTGTCATGCAGGCTAGAACAATTAGATTTGTGCCTGATACCTTTTGCATATATAATACCCAGTAAGCCAAAGAGTTGGGGAGAAGTTCATTTGCTTTAGTTTGCCTTCTCCAGATGACTGCTTGGAAATCAGCCAGGTCAGCAGTGTCCATGGGTCTTTAGAAGTTGCCGGGTGTGCTTGTGTAGAAGGAAATGGGGGTCTAACGTTGCAAGTTAGCTTATGGATAGCCATTCACAATTTAAATAAAATCACCACCATATCTGACACCCTGAATAAGCAGTGAGAGTACAGAGGCCAGGGTATTTCCTCTATGGGGAAGCTGAAACTGCATAGAGAGACTAATGTGACCAAGCAACAGTTCCTTTAAAATAACGGGAGCAGTGATATAGCCGGAGTATTGCCTATTATGCCTGTTCTACGGACATAAAGGAGTTTGAGTTGGTAGGGGCGTCAGTCTAGCACGCGGTGTAACTGGAACAAGAGTCCGCCCTGTCATCAGTTTCTGAGCACTTTCTTGTTCTGGGCACTTGGAAAACAGAAGATGTCTGCCCAGTACATCCCGTGCTGCAAGCTGCATCTTGTGCCAAGCCAGGGAGTGTGGGGTTTGGCAAACCCTGTGCAGGGCGGATCCTCTTTTCTCTGAAAGAGTGAGCAAGCCATTCCTGTACAAGGGGCTGAGCCGCAGCTGGAGAGGCAATGTGGCTGCTGCCCAGCACTTCCACAGCTGTTTATCTAATTCAGGTGCTAGAATCACAGCAACTCTCTTCTGAGTGTTGGTTTTTTTCTTCTAGGGCCTGAAACAGTGTTATGGAATCTTTTTAGCCCTTTCTTGGTTTGCTTTCCATGCTCCCCATGTGCTAAACTATTTAAGATTGGTGCAGAGGAAGAAAAGCCCACTCCCCCCGTGCTGGTGCCAGCTGCTTCCTCTCTGCTTCTCTGGTTGAATGCATTTCTGCAATAACGAAGCTAAAGCAATTTGGTTAAGTAAGGGCAGCGTGTCTTTTTATTTCCTCACCCCTCATACCCTGAGCGTACAACAGTTTGGGCAGATGGCTGGAGGAAACGAATCCTTCTGCTCAGCATTTAGACTCCTCAGAAATGGGCTTGGATTTGCTAACCTCAGGCATTTAAAACCCCACCCTGGCACCCTAAGAAAGGCTTAAAAATCCCAAGGATGTTTTATTTAAAAGTGCAAAGCCCTTTTTAATTTGCTGTTTTGTTTTACCAAAGCTCTAGGGGCTACATTTTTCAAGCCATTTTCTGCAACTGCAGAGGCTAAACTCTACTTAAATGAAAGCTGAGAGTCTCACCTAAACGTGGGACTCCTGGCGCTTGGGCTTCTGGACCTTTAGCAGCATTTGTTACTGTTTGGGGATCTTATTCCAAAGGTTGGTGTCGGACATACATGTTTTCCCCTTGGTAATCGAATGCCACACTTCCCTGGCTTGCGGCAGTTTCCTGAAGAATCTTAAACCAAAAGGCAATGAACCTACTTTTATTTCTCTCTACCACCCAGACGTTTCAGGTTTTCCTCTCTTTTGATGGGACATTTGGGCTTAGTACTCAGGGTTGGGAGTGCAGGAAACAACAGACCAGGAGATTTGGAATATACATGTCCTTTGCTCTATTAGTTTCCCATGCACTCCCTTGACCTTTCACCTTTCGTTCCTAGCCTGCATGCCACCAGCAAACGAAACCTTTGCTGGTCAGGCTTTTACATTTGTCATTACTTAGCACCAGGACAGTATATAGATAACCTCTGAGAGGCTTCCAAGTTCCTTTTCTCCCTTTCAAGCTTCATCCTTGACTTCAAGTGTCTGCTGGAGTTCTGTAAACACAGTTGCTTTGGGGCTGGAGCTCAGGACACTGTGTGTACTTTAAAGCTGCGAGTGACTCATCAGTTGACTGTTCAAAAAGCGTTTTCCAAAGGGGATCACTCATCTCTCCAGAGTGGCAGAGATATTTTCAGGCTGGCTGGGCAATGTTATGGGAATGTTTTAAAACTTGCCTAGTTCACATCATGGGGCAGGGGCAGTCTTGAAGGCTGCCGTTTTAATAAAGAATTGCGCATGAATTCCATGGGTGGTGGCTTGCAATTATTCTTAGACAAGCTAATAATAGTTCATCACTGCTCCTGGATTGCCAGAATAGTCTTAGACTGGCTATACTTTGAATGCATTAACCTCTTCTTGCCCACCTGCTTGATGTTAGATGCCAATAATACACAAGCAGCAGCACAGGCGCAGGCTGATGTTACAGGAATTGATTGAACAAACTCGTTGCACATATGCTGTGTCGAATACTGGAGGGAAGTGGTTGTAGCACTATCCTGTTGGATAAACCATGGACTAGGACATTATTTTGCTAGTCACTCTACAAATACAGTACAAATAGATGGGTCTCTGCCCTAGGGAGACTGCAATGAAAGTATAATCTCTTGCCTGGGTTTCCCCAGCTGTACAAGACCTTGCAGTCTTCTGGTGCAGTGCTACATTGAATGCAATGTATAAATGACATCAACAATGAAAAATGATTTTCTTTTCTTGGATGGAGGGGGGGCTTGGGGAAGAGGCCAGTTGTTATCTGGCAGACTGCCCTGGCATCTAGTCTCCAGTGCTTCATATTCCCTGGCTCTGAGACAGCCTGTCTGATTTGGACTATTGAGTTAGCTCTCTCAGCAACACTGGGCAGAGGGGTTTTGTCTTGCAGAGAATTTTGAAATTTTTGGTTATGATCTGAAGTGAAACTATTTCAGGATCTCTAAATCCTCTGAGACAGAGTTATTGTTTTCCGCTCGAAACTAGATATTTCTTTCCTTATATTGCTTAAACAAATTCCTAACAGGGTACGTACGGACCTGTCTCTATCTGCAAGAATTTCCATCAGATGTTAGTGGAATGATGGAAGACGATCAATAAATGACCTTAATTTGTGGCCCCAAAATGGGAGAAAGCGACACACGAGGACACTGGAGTTTAATGCACTAACACTTCACAGCCATTAGCAAGCCTGTATTTGCAGTGCCACAGTGTGGGAGGGCTGGAAGCAAGCAGCATTTAACAGATGTTGAAACAAACTGACTTGGGGGTGGGCTTGAAAAGGTACCATTATAGAAGGACTCGGTTAAGAGAGGTGTGAAAAGTCTGATTTTTCAGAGGTGCTAAGAACCTGTCACTTCTTATGACTTGGCTAGAGTCAAAAGTGTTCGTTGTCAGGCCCTATGCGACTTGCCCAAAGTCACACACTGCAAAGCCAGGATTAAAAAGGAAGATTTCCCAGTGGCCAAGTGTGTGACCCAGATTACTGAGGGCCGTGTGGTCTGGGCAGCTCCAAGCCATATGTGCTGCCTAATGGCTAGAAACAAGTGGGCTGGGATAATTTCTCAGCAAGGGCGCCAAGCGGAGAGGGGAGAAGACTTGCTATGCGCCAGCTGATCTGAGATAACTCATTTGTGTGGCTGCTCTATTCCACATTAAGTGAAGGGTAAAGGTGGCAGTGGTCCCCTTTTGCATAATAGCTTAGTAGTAAGAGTACCAACCAAGGGAATAGCAGACTTGGGTTCAACCCACATCCCTTGCCTCCTGGGATAGGTTATAGAGTCAAGTGGGGCATACTCCACCACTTGAACTTGTGCCACTGTGAAGAAGGGAATGCAAGATGCATGAAGCCAGAGGGGCAGCAAGCAGAAAGGAGGCTGATTTTGTAGCCTGGTGATGATGACACTTCTCTAGGAGGGAGGGAATTAAGGGTTTGGGTTCCTGATCCCAACATGGTTTATATACTTTAGCCAATTATTTTCTAGTGGAAAAATAAACAAGTAGTTCCAGAAGCATAGACTAACAGCCGGGTTCCCTCCCTCCCTCCCTCTCAATGAGTCTCCTCATCAGGGGCTTCCCTCTTGTTTTTTCTCTCTCTGGCCCAATCGCTCCTACATTGGCATTGACTGGTGGATGTTAGGTGTCTGCATGCCTGTGTTCATCTGTTCATGCAGGAACCCTGCAGTAGGGCCCTCAAAAGTACTTGCCATTGGACCATCCCTACTCTCAGGAAGCAGATGTGTGCTTGCAAAAATTGTCCGTGGCAGGCAGAGCCCAAAGCAGCACGTGTATTGTAGGGTCATTCTGAACGAATCACACTGCTCTTCATTAGACTCAAATAAAACCTTAATTACACAAACTAGTTTGAATCCCAGTAAAAGTATGTACCTACACACTTTACTTTTGCTGTACTCATTCATCTTAATGTCAGCATTTATTCTTGACCTGTTCTTGAAGGTGCGTTGCAGGCTAGCAACATCGAAGATGTATTTTTTAGTACATTTGGGGAACTGCAGTTAACAGTATATCTTCACCTGAAAGGAAAGCTTTAATCCTATCATTTTGTTCTTGCTCAATAAACTTGAAGTACATCATTGACATTAATGCATTAATAAAAGTAAAATAAAATGGGGATCAGTGGGTTTTTAATAATCTCTTTCTTTTCCTTCCTGAGTTTCTTTAGTTCAGGAACATTGTGTCATTGCTTCTGTGTGCTGAAAACACATTCCAGTCCTACAGTTAGCTATTTAAAGTGGATTCTCATGGTTATGCGATGCAAGCAGAAGTGATTTATTTTGTAATGGATTGCTCAGAAAGCCAGTTCACCCCCCTGCTGCCCTGTGGAAAGAATTATACTCACATAGGTATGGGGGAAATGTTTCCTATGCGCCCTGTCTGTATGGCTTCCCTACTTGAGCTTGGGGCCCTTGCTGAGAAATAATCCCAGCCCACTTGTTTCTGTTCCATGTGCATCGAGTGCTGGCCATTGGGCAACACACATGGCTTGGAGCTGCCCAGACCGCATGGCCCACACTAATCCATCCAATGGCAGTATTGCCAACTCTCATGATTTTTGGCATTGTTCTTAAAGTCTATGCTTCAGAAATGTGAAAAACGTAGCTGTTTCTTTCATATCTATCTATTGATCAATCAGTAGATAGAGTGATAGATAGATATAAACATATGCAAAAGAAACAGCTACGTTTTTCACATTCCCGAAGCATAGACTTTAAGAACAATGCCAAAAATCATGAGAGTTGGCAACACTGCAGTGGTGGAAGACCGGCCTATTGAAGTCAACCTGTACAGCCAGCTCTGCATCAGCCATGTGAGGATGGGCAAGCATGCCCTCAGAGAAGAGGATCTTTGTGAGAAGTTCCCTCTTTCCAGAGTCCTTTCTCCTTTAGGTGTTCCTTAGATGGTGCTTGTCTGGGCCTTCAGAAATGATGCGATACAAATAGGAAGTATCAGGATGCTAAGGGTGGCCGACTCTATATAAATCGATGCCCTTGTCTGTTGACAGCTAGTTCTGCAACCTGTTTTTTGTAGGGGTGGATCCAGCGGGGGTGCGGTGGCATGTTTTTGTGTCCACTGCCCTCCCGTCTGTTGGCTCTGCAGAAGCTCTCAGAGCTCACGGCGATGCAAACAGAGCTTCTGCTGGGAGCTCAGCATATGTTACGAGCTCCAGGAGCTCACTGACTAGTCATCCGGGAGTCCCTGTTTTCAAGCAGCTCTGCAGCCTACTCCTGTTTGCGTCTCTCTTCTCTCCTCCCTCCCTGCTCTCTGCTCCCAGTTCAGCGTCAGAAGGGCAGGGATGAGTGCTAAGAACTCGCTGGCATCCACAATTGCAGGGAGAGGCTGTGGCCATACTGCCTTTGGCCATGTGGTGTAATGCTTTGTGAGCTCTCTTCGCTGCACAAGTGCCACACTGCTGCACTCCCACAATCCTAGATCTGCCCCATGCTCGTTTTCTATGTCCTCTTCCTGTCTTTCCTACAACCTATTGTGATGTCTTCCTGCCTCTTCTAAAGCCATTTCTATTGTAGACTAAGCTTTTCCGAGAAAGATTAGATCCATACGCTCCCAGAGCTCACATGTACTCTGTCCAGTTAACCTTGAGCAGGGGACATGGTGGTAGAGTTGTAGCAGTAATTTTGAACTCACCCCTTGTTTCTCCTCCGGGGAAGGAAGAAACGACTTCTCATTAGTGCCAAGAAACCCAAGCAACCAAGTGGAGAGTAGGAGGAATGGAGTATGAAATTCCTTGTTCACGTACATCAGTGATTTGGACGAGGGGGTGCAAAGCACCCTGTTCAAGTTTGCTGATGACACTAAGATGTGGGGGGAAGTGGGCACAATTGAGGGGAGCAACAGGCTACAGTTAGACCTAGATAGGTTACAAGGATGGGC